CACCACAGTTATCCAAATGAAATGTTAATTCAAGCAATAACATTATTATCAAGGAAATTTCTAATCTAAATAAAATAAAACCAAGTCTAGATAGACCATACTACTACTAGTTCATATTCAAATTCAAGTCAACCATTTCTCGACTCTTATAAACTCTATGCAATTTTAACATCAATTAATATGCTTCAACTAGACACTGGTGCCACAACTCCTCAAGCGACAGTGAAAAAAACGTCATCCTGAAGGCATCTTAGATCATGTTTGACAATTGACATTGTGGCTAAAATAACTTATATTTAGAAACACTTTTTTTTTTAAATATAACTTTTTATAAAACTACTTTAAAAAATAATAATTTTTGTTTGACTAATTATTTGAAAAATGCTTTTGATAAGCCAACTCTGTTTGATTAATCATTTAAAAAAAATATTTTTGATGGTCAAATTACGAAAATTGACAAGTATCAATGCATTTTTAATATTAAGATTATTTTGTAGAGAGATTATTTTAAAATATTTATTATTAAATTTTAATTAATTTTTTATTTTTACTAAATTAATAGACATATTTAAATTTTCAACTAATATCATACATAAAATAATTTTTTTAAATGTTGAGATAATATTAATAAAATAGTTTGAATATAATTAAAAACATCAATCAAATGAGTTTAAAAATCATTCTACAAATTAAATCACTACATATGGACCTTTTCGCAAACAAAGTGATAATCAATTTCAATATGCTTCGACCTTTGATGAAAGACAGGATTGGCAGTGAGATAAATGACACTGATGTTATTACAGAATATCACAGGAGGACAAGGACAAGGCAATCAGAGTTCCTTGATCAAACTAGCTATCCAAGATATTTCTGATGCGGCAAATGCAATGGCACGATATTCAGCTTCAGTGCTGGACCGAGCTACTACCTTTTGCTTCCGTGATGACCAACTGATTAGATTAGGACCATAATATACAACAAAGCCATGATGAGAACGACGATCATCAGGATCAGCAGCCCATCTGCATCACAGTAGACATTTATAGTACATGAAGTGGATGGATTGAAGGAGATACCATGCGTAAGGGAGCCTTTGAGATAGCGAAGGATCCTGTTTCACGACTTTTCAATGATCCAATGTAGGATTCTGCATGTATTGGCAAACACGACTAACCGAGAAGGAGATCTCTGGTCGCGTAATGGTCGCATACTTAAGAGCACCAACAATGCTCCTAAATGATAATGGATCATCAAAGGTTTCACTATGTTTGGACAAATGAAATGTGGTGTCCGCTAGAGAAGGAGAAGGCTTGCAATTTGTCATTTTTGTTCGAGTGAGTAAATCTCGAACGTAGCTAGTTTGAGAGAGATGCATCTCAGATCCGACACGACTAACTTCAATACCCAAGAAAAATGTGAGATTACCAAGGTCTTTTAAAGAGAACTCGAGATCAAGAGATTGGGTGAATGAGGATATATAAGAGGGATCACTACCCGTTATGATGATGTCGTCCACATAAACTAAGAGGTAGGTAGTGGAGGAAGGAGTATGACGGACAAACAAGGATGAGTCAGAGTAACAACAAGTATAACCATGCGATAGGAGAAATGTTTTGAGCTTGAGAAACCAGGCACGAGGATCTTGCTTTAATCCATATAATGCTTTCGACAAGTGACACATAAAATGTGGGTGAGACTTGTCAATAAATCATGGTGGTTGAGACATGTAAACAACCTCCGTAAGGTCACCATTAAGGAATGCATTGTTAACGTCTAATTGCTTAAGAGCCCAACCTTTAGTCACTACATAAAATAAAACAAGTCTGATGGTTGAAGGTTTGACAACTGGGCTGAATGTATCATGTAAATCCACCCCTCTTCTTGATGAAAACCTTTGGCAACTAAGCGAGCTTTGTACCTTTCGATTGAACCATCTGCTCGTCGCTTAATACGGTATACCCATTTGCAACCCACCACATTTGCATTGGGAGGGCAGGGAACAAGTGTCCAAGTGCAGTTACGGCGGAATGCTTGATAATCAGCTTCCATGGCGCACAACCACTCAGGAGAGGATGCAGCTTGCACTTGGGTTTTTGGTTCACTTGCTATAACGGATGAAACTAGGGTAGGATGGTGAGATACAAAAAGTGTTTTAGGCTTGAGGGATTTTGTTTGAGATCGTGTGGTCATACGATGATTGGAAGAAGTAGTAGGCTGGAAATATGTGGGAGCATTCTGATATGTGCTTGAAGCAGAGGACGTGACGATGGGCAGAAATGTATTGTGTCGTGGAGATGTTGTGGTATATGAATGAGGTACTGGTAGGACTTGAGTGGGTAGTGAGGATGAGGAAGGGGGATCTGCTCGTGAATGGAGTAAAGGTGAGGCAGCAGATGTGGGAAAAACATTGGAAATTGATTGTAGAGACGTTAAGGATGAGGGTGGTGAGTTGTGACTGGAGCAAGAAGAAATTTTTTTGTAATGAGGATAGGGAAATTTATCTTCATCGAACGTCACATGACGAGCAATATGCATCCTATTGGTTGGGGGATAATAACATATATAACCTTTATGCTTCGAACTATAACTCAAGAAGACACACGGAAGAGAGCAAAAATCAATTTTATGATGAATGTAAGGACGTAGAAAAGGGTAGCATAGACACCCAAATTTTCGAAGGAGTTGGTAGTCCGGTGGATGATAATATAGAGCTTGATAGGGTGATTTAAAGGATAATATGGGAGTGATGGTACAGTTATGTAGGTATGTGGCGGTAGAAAAAGCATGCTCCCAGTATTGATATGAAAGACATACGTGAGCAAGTAAAGTTAGTCTTTTCTCCACAATGGTGCGGTTACGTCTTTCTGGAGCCCCATTTTGTTCGTGAGTGTGAGGAAAAGAGAAACGATGAGTTATGCCGATGGATTGGGCATATGAAGACACATTACGATACTCCCCACCCCAATCAGTTTGCAAAGTTTTGATGTTTTTGCCAAATCGTGTGGAACCAATCTTATGAAAGTATTTAAAAACATCAAAAACTTGTGATTTTGTTAACAAGAAAAATATCCAAACAGATTTAGTAGAATCATCAAGAAACTGAACAAAATACTTATTTCTATTAATAGAAAGATGTGGAGAAGGCCCCCAAACATCATAATACACCAAATCGAAAGGGAATAAACTACGACTTGAGGAAGACGCTAACGGGAGCCTATTGTCATGGGGTCAATTTTCGCACCTCATGGGATAGTAAAGAAGGCTTGCATGGCTCCTCTAAACTCAGTCCAAACCAAACATAAATGGAACGCTAAGCAAGACAGTCCACCATGTAGTCACAAACAAATAAGGAAAGCAAGAAAGGAAGCCAAGTTTTGGGAGGCTAACAAGCCAATTTTCCAATAATCTTCCAAGTTTTGTATAAGAGAGCAAATACAAAGTAAGAGAGAGATACAAAGAGTATGCTAAGTATGCTATGTGATAATCTGTCTAACAACACTATACAAGGCTTCTAAGTAAGCCAAAAACGTTTGGCCCTAAGCTTCAAAGAGAAGGCTACATGTGGCAGATTTTCTAAGACTGGAAAATAGGCAGTTTTGTCTTTCCTGCTTTACTGCCACATGGCAGACTGGCTGCATAGATTTTTGTCTTCAAGCATTTGGCTGGCCTAGTTAGCATGGCAAGTTTCTTCTTTCTTGCAAGGCACCTCCATCAGTTGGGCCAGAGTTTGGCAAGGCTTTTGACCCTCCGATTTTGTGATGAGATGCTGTTGCTTTGTTGGAGACGTTGGATTTTAATGTACCGCCTTGCGGAGCGGTACATGCTCCCCCGCGTGAATTGGTGACGACCCCGACGCCACACAACTGCAAGTATTGATGGACTTTGTCGCGAAACTGCCACAAGTCCTCGTACTTCTCCCAAGTGGCCTCCTCCGGTGCCGTTCCCTTCCTGTGAACTATGAACTGTGAACTAGAATTGTTCCAGCCTTTTCCACGAACAAGCTGGTGATCGATGATAGCCTCAATCCGTTTATCCACTGTAGGCGGCGTGATGAAGATTATGGCCCTCTCGGACTGCCCCCGTTCTTTGTCTTCCTTGTCTTCGAAATAAGGCTTCAATTGACTAGCATGGAAGACTGGGTGAATCTTCAAGTGATGAGGAATGTCAATCCGATAAGAAATTTTGCCAGCCTTGGCAATAATCTCGAATGGCCCCTCGTATTTGTGAATCAAATTCTGATTCACGCTTTGCAGCGACTTAAATTGCCTGCGATTGAGTTTCACCATGACTCAATCCCCAATTCTGTAATCCACCGGACGTTGCTTACGATCCGTAAATTTCTTCATCTTCTTGGCAGCCTTGTCAAGGTACGACCGTGCAAGGTCGACTTGTTCTTCCCAGACTTTGGCCATTTGATAGGCACTTGGACTTTTGAAACCGGCGTCGACGGGCAAGGATTGTGGCATGTTAGGCTGTTGCCCCGTTGCTAACTCAAAAGGACTCCTCCCCGTCGCCTCACTTCTCTGCAAGTTGTATGAGAATTGGGCAATATCTAGCAGCCTTGCCCAATCCTTCTGATTGGCACTAACATAGTGCTGCAAGTAGCACTCCAACAGCGCGTTGATCCTCTCAGTTTGCCCGTCTGTCTGAGGGTGAAAGCTGGTCGAGAAGTGCTACTCCGACCCCAATAAGCTGAATAATTCCCTCCAGAATGAGTCAGTAAACCTTGGACCCCGATCACTGATTATCTGCTTAAGGATGCCCCAGTATTTAACATCACGCAGAAAGATCCTGGCAGCTTCTTTGGCTTTGCAGTTAGCCGTCATGGCAGTGAATGTAGCATATTTGGAGAAGCGATCCACCACGACCATTATCGTCCCAAACCCCTCCGAGTTCGGCAAGCAAGTGATAAATTCCATAGTGACGCTATCCCAAAGCTTTTCGGCAATGGGCAGCGGCTCCAACAATCCACCCGGCACCTTTGTCTCAACCTTGTCTTATTGACAAATGAGGCAAGTTCGGACATATGCCTCGACGTCATCCCACATCCGAGGCAAATAGTAGGAAGCTTTAATTAAGGCCAAGGTTCTCTTCTGCCCCGGGTGACCAGCCCAAGCAGAGTCGTGGCCTTCTTTAATAAAGGTACGCCGAAAGTTAGCCCACTTCGGAACGTACAAACGCCTGCCCGTTGTATAGAGCAGGACACCTTCCTCCCAAAACTTCTTCGTCTTGCCTTGCTGGGCCAAGGCGAAGAGTTTTCTGGCTATGGGATCATGCTGTAATCCCTCCTTTATGTCATCAACAAGTGAGCTGCAACTCGAGCTCAAGATGTCAGCCAACGAAGTCTTGCGGCTAAAGGAGTCGGCAACCACATTCGCTTTCCCCCGTTTGTACTCCCAGAGTGAAGTCGAATTCTGCTAAAAAGTCTTGCCATCGGGCTTGCTTGGCGGACAGCTTCTTTTGGGATTGGAAATATGTCGTCGCAACGTTGTACATCTTGACGACAAAGTGAGCTCCCAGCAAGTAATGGCGCCACGTTCTCAAGCAGTGAACCACGACTTTCATCTTCTTCTCATGCGTTAAATACCGCCGCTTCGCTTCGTTCAACTTTCTGCTCTCAAAGGCTATCGGGTGGCCCTCTTGCATTAGGACGCCACCGATAGCGAAGTCCGATGCATCAGTGTGGACTTCGAATGCCTTAGAGAAGTCTGGCAAGGACAAAACAGGCTATTCCATCACAGCAGTCTTTAGCCTCTCAAAGGCAGCTTGGCAAGCCTCCGACCAATTCCAATCACGATCCTTCTTCAACAAATTCGTGAGAGGAGCTGCAATTGCTGAGTAATTAAAGATGAATCGATGATAGTTATTGGCAAGGACAAGGAAGGACCTTAATTCTGGTACCTTCGTTGGAGCCTCTCAATTCTTGATAGCATCTATCTTGTCGCTATCCATCCTAATCTCGCCATGGCTGATAGTATGCCCAAGGAAATGGACGGTCGGTAGGGCGAAGCTGCATTTTTTCCACTTCACATACAGCTCGTTGTCGTGCAAGATCTTGAACACTTTGCACAAGTGCTCTACATGGTCTTCCATGTTGTTGCTGTAGACAACAATATCATCCAAATAAATAACAACAAACTGATCCAAGTAGGAGTGGAACAGTTTGTTCATCAGTGTGCAGAACATCGCCGGTGCGTTCGTCAACCCAAATGGCATTACCAGCCAATCGAAGGCACCATAGCGCGTTACGCAAGAAGTCTGTGGTTTATCACCTTCTGCAATCCCAACTTGGTGATTACCCTTTCTCAAGTCCATCTTGGTGAACACCTTTGCCTGTCCCAATCTATCAAATAAATCCACAATCAAAGGAACGGGGTACTTGTTCTTCACCGTGACCTTATTGAGGGCCCGGTAGTCAATGCATAACCGCAGCGTCCCGTCCTTCTTCTTTTGGAATAAAACAGGTGCACCAAACGGCGCCTTGGACGTCCTGATGTGTCTAGCATCCAGCAACTCCTTGAGCTGCTTCCTTAACTCCTCCAGTTCCGGGGGCGCAATATGATAAGACATCATGGCAGGCGGCTTTGCCCCTGGAACCAGCTCAATTTGGTGATCAACTTCCCTTCGGGGTGGCAGCCATTGGGGAAGTTCTGTTGGCATCACGTCCTTGTTATTTCTAAGGACTTGTTCGATGCAAGGCGGCAATTGAACTGCCTCTGTGCAGCTTTCGACGTCTTCAATCAGAGTGGCAAGAAATGTTGGCTCGCCTCTCTTGAAGCCCTTGATAATTTGCATTGCCGATAAATGCATCCTATTTTGTGGTACCCGAATAAGGGGTACACCACGCAAGAACCACCGGTGTCACTGATGTGCATCTGGTTGTGACGCGGTGAGATGAACGCATTGACTTCATACCAAAAGTTAAGCCCTAAGATGACATCAAACACATCCATTGGGGCGATTGTGAAATCAGTCTGCCCCGTCCAATCTCATAACTCAATTGGAACTTTAGGTGCAATGCCATGGATGGTAGTAGGAGTGGCGTTGACTGTCTTCATTTTTGTGTTGCTTGCAACATAACTTAGGCCAAGCTCCCTGGCCTTCTGCTCAGTCACAAAATTGTGAGTTGCCCCTGTGTCTACCATGATCCGCACGTCTTTGCCATTCAACTTGGCATCGACGAAGAGTGATTCTCGCGGCCTGACGTTAGCTGGTTTGGAAGCCAAAGCAACAATGGAAATGTGGTTGATCAGCGCCATGTGGTTGAACATGCCCACGACAACGTTTTTGCCTTTGTCTGACCCGCTACTCTGCCCACGTTGCTCACCGATAGAACTTCCGGCTTGCACTGCAGCCTTTTCTTGCTGCTTTTCGGCAGCCACCATAGCGCTCAACTTCCTCAATGACAGACAGTACCGAGCAGCGTGGGTCGTCTCCCCACAGATGTAACAACCTTCCTGCTGAGGAGCACCCCTCTTGCGGTCCTCATAATTCTTTCAGAAATTGGAAGGCTGATCACGAGCATTGCTTCTCGTGTCGCTGCTTCGGTTGGGATTTGGTCTGCTTCAGCCTTGTTGTTGTTGTCGACTTTGGGAGGAATAGTTTTGCTCCTGTTATCCCTCTCTTTTGCCGTATCAACACGAAAATCGTTGAGCGATCCCACCACTACAATCGCCTCATCTACGTCATGCACTTGACGTCTTTGCAGCTCCTGCTTGGCCTAATTTTGAAGGCCATCTAGAAAGTAAAGCAGTAAGTCCTCACTCGTCATGCTTGGAATTTGAAGTGTTAACTTCGTAAATTCCTTAACATAATCTCGAATGGAGGAGGTCTGCTTTAACTCCCTCAACCTCCTACGGGCTTCGTGAACGACATTTTGGGGGTAGAACTGCCGTTTGAGCTCAGCTTTGAACTGCTCTCAATTATCAATCTGGCAAGGCCCCCTCTTCATATCTGCCTTCTTCCATAGCCACCACAGCATGGCTGTGTCCGTCAAGTACATAGCTGCCGTTATGATCTTGGCAGCTTCGTTGTGCATGTCAATGTGTTCAAAATAGGCATCCATATGCCATATGAAGTTCTCCACGTCTTGAGCACTCCTTTTCCCACGAAATTCTTTGGGTTTAGGAGCCTCAATACGAGTTTCTCAGACTGTAATGGGAGGAGCAACTCCCACCTCGGCAGCCTCATCAACCTGCCTTCTTAACGCCTCCACCTCTCTTTGAAGGGAAGAGATGGCCTCGTTGAGTTTGAGTTCAAGGGTGGACAGACCCTCTTTTTGAACATCCTCATTTTCAACCAGGTTGTTCTTCACCTCGTCCAGCCCTTCAATGGCTACGAACTCGAGGGAACTAAAGTTGTTTTCAACCATAGCAATCCTTCGGTTCAAGGCCGACAACCCCACCTCAACTCCGACGACTCTCTCGTCGAGTGGGTTGTTGTCTGCACCTTCTTATTCTTCACCAGCAGCTCTACCAACAAGAGAAGGGTTGCAAGAAGGTTTTATTACCTTGTTCATGTCACGTTTCTTGGAAGGTTCCTTCCGAACTTCAGGCTCCTTGTCTTAGACATCCTCTTCATTACGTTGTGACTTCGATGTCATGCTTCAACTGCTGCTCTGATACCACTTGTCACGGGGTCAATTTTCGCACCTCGTGGGACAGTAAAGAAGGCTTGCACGTCTCCTCTAAACTCAGTCCAAACCAAACACAAACGGAATGCTAAGCAAGATAGTCCACCATGCAGCCACAAACAAATAAGGCAAGCAAGAAAGGAAGCCAAGTTTTGGGAGGCCAACAAGCCAATTTTCCAATAATCTTCCAAGTTTTGTACAAGAGAGAAAATACAAAGTAAGATAGAGATACAAATAGTATTCTAAGTATGCTATGTGATAATCTGTCTAACAACACTATACAAGGCTTCTAAGTAAGCCAAAAACGTTTGGCCCCAAGCTTCAAAGAGAAGGCTACATGTGGTAGATTTTCTTAGGCTGGAAAATAGGCAGTTTTGTCTACCCTGCTTTACTGCCACAAGGCAGACTGGCTGCACAGATCTTTGTCTTCAAGCATTTGGCTGGCCTGGTTAGCATGGCAAGTTTCTTCTTTCTTGCAAGGCACCTCCATAAGTTGGGCCAGAGTTTGGCAAGGCTTTTGACCCTCCGATTTTGTGATGAGATGCTGTTGCTTTGTTGGAGACGTTGGATTTTAATGTACTGCCTTGCGGGGCGGTACACTATGACTTTTTCCTAATTGACAAGATCCTCAAACTGTAGGCATTTTGTTGAAAGTCATTGGAAGATAAAAATTAGAGACTAGACGACGTAAAATTTGCTCATGAGGATGATCAAGGCGTTCATGCCACACTTGGAATGATGCTCGAGATATGAAAAAGGCGCGAGGAGTTGAGGATGAGATAATAAAAAGCCCACCACCTTTCAAACGATATAAACCATCATCAATTGACCCGCAGAGTAGTATTTTTCCCTGAGGATTCTTCACAAAACAACACGAGGGGTGAAATTCCATAAATACATTATTATCTTTAGTAAATTGATAAACACTCAGTAAACTCTTGGTGATGGAAAGAACATGAAGAATTTTATTAAGATGAAGAGGTCGAGTAGCACAAGAAATCTTAGAGGAGCCGATGTGATTAATAGAGAGTTTTTGGCCATTACCTACAACAAGATGATCCTCACCATTATAGTCCGTGTGAATAGATAGTTGAGACAAGTCTGACGTAACATGATTAGTGGCACCTGAGTCCACCAACCATGAATTATCAATATAGCTGAAGGAGACATCATAGAATTAGTCGAGGGAGTAACCATATTGGCTTGTGGACGGTTAGAGGATCGGTTTGGTGGGTAGGTATCCATGTTGTTGCGGTTGTAGCAATTATGAGCATGGTGGTTGGGTTTCTCACATATTTGACAGATTATGCGAGGTGATGATCTATTAGAGGAACGAGGGAGGTTGGTATTGGTCGGGCGAGTGGAGGATTTTCGAGAGGTGGTGACACTTTGTTCATTAGGATATCCAGTGATTGGGGAGCGATTAGAGTATTGACGAGATATGGCATTGGCTTGAAGTTGGAGGGATTTGGTTTCCTCAGCCAATTTCTCCTCTTCTTGGAGAAGTAAACCAAGAAGTGAGTCAGTGGTGAGGTTATCAAGGTGAGGGTTAATTGCAGAGCGAAAAAGGTCCATAGGAAGATTCTAGTCCGAACAAAATAGCACTCATAAGTTCTTCGTCTGTTATGGGATGGGCAGCAAGGGCTAGACTATGGGATATAGTTCGTTTCTTGTCAACATAGTCCATAATGGTTGAAGAACCCTTAGTGGTGGTTTGGAGTTGGTGCCGAAGTTGCATGACGCGAGATCGATATTGAGATTGATAAAGGTTGGAAAGATATGACCAAGTTTCACGAGTGGTACAAATGTTCATTATTTAAGGTATGATAGAATGACTCATGGTAGTTTTGAGCCAAAGAAGAAGGATTTTGTCCCGCTTCTTCCAAGTCGTGAAGGCTGGATTTGTTGTGGATTCAGAGGTGACCTGAGTAGTGGTTAAGATAGTGTCAGATGGAGCATTAGTTCCATCAAGTTGACCCTCCAAATCAAAGGCTTCAAAGGCAGAATATACGGTAGATTGCCAAAGGTAATAATTTTCTTGATCAAGTTTTATCGGAAGGCCGGGAAGGGCAATTGTTTGGGATTTGGAGTCAGTTATGGAGAGATGTGTGGAAGAAGATGAATGTGGCTGAACGACAGCGGCAAAGGACTGATTAAGGTTGCCCATGGTGGCGGAAAGAAAAAAAAGTTGGATCTTGATACCAAATGAAAAACGTAAAAGAAGAGGTCAGAACTTGGTCTTTTCTGCAGTGACCAAGGCTGCCATAATATATATATATATGTGTGTGTGTGTGTGTGTGTGTGTGTGTGTGTGTCTGTGTGTGCGCTGATGATGTACATGATAGAGTTTGAATACAAATAGAAAAGAGCTATCCTAATTAATAAAGGATTTTGAGTTTACATAAAAGACTTATTATAATATCTATAGAGGAATCCTACATTCCAGCCAAGAAGGATTTATTGTCATCTAACATGGATAAATAAATACATATAAAAGATATATTAATAAATATGTATATACAACCAAGATAGTTTTGGTCTTGCAAAAATATCTTTCTTGCTAAACTTGTTTTAGAATTGACTGAAAACTTCTTTGGTAAAACTAATATACTTCCTTTGAAACTAGTCATGTTCTTGTTATGAAAGTAATAGACTTGGAACTATTCAAGCTACTTAAAACTCTTTCTCAAGTTTTTTCTTTAATACTAGAAATTTTCTTTGAATATGAAATTTTACATAATAAAATGAGAAACTTACATAAATATACTAAAATAAAAAAAATTTACCACTTATAGCAATAATATCTTTTTTTCATTTGATTACTTTTAATTCATTTATAATACAAGTTTAATACATATTACAAAGAACAATTTAATATTCATATATAATACAAGTTTTAATGATGGATAATACACTCATCATACATTTTAGTACACTTATAATACAATGTGTCAAACTTTTACCAAACAAACATATTATGTCAAAAAACAATTATAATTCCTATGTATTACATACATAATTCACTTTAATTCATATTGCAAATTTAACATAATATTGTTATAAATGGTAATAAATATAAAAGTATTGCTAAAATCAGTAATTATTTCTTAAAATGTTCTAATTTATGTAATTTTTTCAAAATTATATGCCCCGAAGCACAATC